GGTTTGTGCCAAGAAGTCTGCTGTAATTCTGATGGGTGTTCCCTTGTAAGTAATCTGTTTCTTGTCTCTGATGGCTTTTAATATTCTGTTCTTATATTGGATTTCTGGAATTTTGATTATTATATGCCTGGGTGTAGTTCTGTTTGGGTTGTATGTGGCTGGGGTCCTGTATGAGTCTTACATCTGAGTATCTTTACCATTTGCTAAATTAGGGAAATTCTCTTGGATTATTTCTGTGAATAGCTTTTGTAGTCCATTTGCTTGTGTCTCTACTTCTTCTTTTATGTTCTTAATTCTTAAGTTATAGATCCTCTTATCATCTGCTAGCCTTTGTATTATTGCTGTTTTTTTTCTTGTTATATTTAAGAAGTTTTTCATTTCATGCTTCCCATTACAAATCTGCCATCCAGTTCAGATAACCTATCCTTAGTTTCTTTCAAGCTGTTATCCCAACTTTCAATAGAGTTTTTAGTTTCCTGGTAATTTCTTTGAACCTGCTTCACATAGTCTATGTTTTCTCTATTTTCTCCATTAAACAATTTCCCCCTTTTTTTTCTGTTCTTCCATTCCACCATCTGTTTCTTCTTGGGCTGTGCTTAGCATTTCTATAACTATTCTACTTATATCTTGCTTTATTTCTTTAAATACTTCTCTTTTTAACTCGTCTATGAGGCTCCGGAGATATTGCTTTATGTCTATTGGTGCTGTGTCTGATATTGCATGTTTTCTTTCCTCATTCTCCTTTGCATTCACTTTTCCTGGATCAGTGTTCTCAGAATTGGGGACTGAGGACCCTTTCTTGTTGCTTCTTCTTCCCATAATTTTTGTTCCTTCCATACAAGCGAAAATAGGAGGCCCAGTTTTCTTTTTCTATTTGTCTGTTGCAGTTTGTTTGAATTGTGCCAGTTAGGTGTTCCTGCCCACTGCAGTGTACTAGGGAGATACAGAATTGGGCAGCCTCTGCTAGACCCACCCCTCCAGGTCAACCTATTAAAGGTTTCACTGTTAGGGTGCACCTCCAGGCACTGGGACCTGGTTTGGGCTAGCCTACTGGGTCTTAGTCAGTGGCGTCATGCAGGCCAGGCACTCCCCACCAATCCTGCTTGAGAGGGGCATATGTGACTGAAGTCACTGCAACATCCTGTTCGGGCTAGTTTGCCTGGTCCCAGTATGTCCTTTGCTGACACCTCGTACTCTATGGAAAGGTCCCTGTTCCTCTCAGTCACCACAGGTCGATGCAAGTCTCACTGCCAGTCCCATTCTCAACTCTGTTCACCGATTCCCACTGTCAGAGTTTTCTCGAGTCTCTCTCCCTGCCATGCTGATTTCGACGCAGCAACGTCAGCAGGAAATTCAAATCGCGGCTTCCAATGGTGCGGGATCCAGCTTCCATGCTGAGATTTTATCTGTTCCTGTTATAGCACCAGGACTGCATTTCCAGTTGGTTTCTCTTAGCTTAGTTCATTCCTGGATCGGCAGGGTATATCTCCCCTTGCTTAGGACTCCTCGCCTCACCCCATTTCTGGGTTCTAAGTGGGGTATCTCAGAGAGCCTCTGTAGCTGCTGCTATGTATCTGCCATGTTCTCCTGGAAGTCTGTAAGTGAATCTCTGTGAATCACTGCTCCTGGCTCAATCCTGTGATGCCAGTGACACCTCAAAGGGCCATGTAAAGGTATAGATGTTGACACCTCTCTCCCACCAAAATTAACTAGATAAGAGACAGCAACTCCAGGCATCTCCCTCCTGCTGTGTCACTCCTACCATAAGTTTTATCATAGAGATAAGACAGTTCTCTTAAATTGATATAATCTACTATGTGAAACAATCTTTGAAGTGACTCCCAAGGTCCTATTCAGTTCCCACACGTGCTTCAGTATTCTCTTTTTTGTTTAAAAACTTAATAAATATAGGCCACCCACAGACGATCTTTGTCTCTAACACTGATAGAAGCTTTTTTTTTTGTCTTTTTCATTTTTATCGGTACCAGGGATCGAACTCACGACCGCCTGCTTGCAAGGCAGGTGCTTATGCTGCTGAGCTAAATCCCCAGCCCTATCTAGAAGCTTTTGATTCTCCTGCAGCCCTAGAATCATATTATTTGTCTGAAATATTTAAGCCTTTGCTGTAAACTTGCTTGGTAGATTAGTAATCTTGACCAGTGCCCCTATACAACACCACCACCACACTGCAGGAATCACTAACCATACTGACTCATTGATTCTGCCCCACAATGGAGATAGCTCACAGTCTACCTGATCCCACTTGAATCTCCTTTCTCCTAGAGAGTGCCACAGTGTTCAAATTCTATGCATCCTTCTTACATCCCTGTTTCACACTACAGGGCAGGAAGGGTTGTGGACTGCTTCTGCTTTGGTCTCTAACCTGGTTGTTGCTGGGATTTCAATTAGTTGCTAGCGTACAGACAAAAAAACATCTGGGTGCCCACTGTGGAGGGAGTAGTGCTGGTGAAATCTTCTGCCAGGTCCCTGCATCCTCAACACGGAGGAAGGCATAAGAAGCAAGGTGCCTTTCATTCCAAATCTATCTTGTTTGGCTTGAGTTAGTCACACATTTGCAGTCTATCAGCTTCTGGGAGACATGTTAGTGTGGTGCTTCTTGCTCAGTACACAGGCAGTAGTGCCACCAGCAGCATGGTGATCTTGATTACCATTTCATAAAATCCTATGTCTATGGTTTGTTTGATGTACACATGTCTTATTTCAAGTTAATCCGGGGGTCAGGATGTATGTCCCTCCCTTTCCTCCAGTTACCTTTGTTGTTAGTTGATGTGGCTCCTCTTCTATTCAGCCACGTTGAATCCTTCTTTGTTTTTAATCATTTGATTTAATCCTTTTTTTCTTCCTTTGGAAAGTGTACCTAAGTATTTGTCTTTTTTATTTCTTCTTTCAAAAACTACTCTTCAACTCATTGAGAGTTTTGTACTTTTTGGGAAGATAGGAGAATGGGAAAATGATTTAACACACATCATGTGCAGGTGTAAATTCTCTATCATGGTGGTCAGTATGTATATCTAAAATGTACCAATAAACTTAATAAAAAGGAAAATATATGTATCTGTTTAAACACATGTTATCAATTCCTGTTAACAGTACATAATGATTACACTCATTGCAATGAGTTGCTACATAAATATAAAACATCTTAGTTCTGCTTAATCCCATTTCCCTCCTATGTGTACAGATTTTATGGTTTTATTTTAGCATAAGTACAACATGTACCTGAGTTTGACTATTCATTTTCTTCATCTAACAGCATGCCATTTGGCCTACTCTCTCTGATAGCCTGCTGTGTTGTTCTTTACACAAATTTTGTAGTTCTTAGGAAAGCATTGTGAGATATTTGCAAACAGTAAGATATGCTGTACACCAGCAGCCCTTCCAGCCACTTGAAATGGTGGATGGGAAACTTGGGAATCTATTGAACTTGATAAGCTTTGTTTTATAATTGTCCCCATCTCTAGTCTTGAGCATCAAGAGTTCACCTTAAGTCTTCTGTGCACCAAGTTGCCAATAGCTGTGGAATTCTGTAGTTATACTTTATTTTGACGTGTTTTCTAATTGGTGATGGGTGATCTTCCTGGTCCTTTTCAGGATAATCCTGCGCTTCATGACAGGTCTGAGGGTAGCCAGGATGCTGGGGAACAGACAGTTGTCAGAACTGTAGGCAGTGTATTTTTCTTGGAGATTTTCTTAATGCATGTTGTGTTATTTTATTCCATTAATGTATTTGAGTGCTTTATATAAATTATTATATTGACCCTAGAAAGACCGAAAAGAACCAAGAAGGCAAAGTTTTTTTCTCTAAAGTATTGCCATATTGTGATTGCTATAATAAAGTGATGTATGTGGTATCAGTGAGGGGGAGCTGAGCAAACTGGGATTTGAAAAGTGAAGAAGAGCCCTGGGAAAGGAGAGATATATGGATCTGAAGCATCAGCTTTATTTAAAAAATGCAGATAGTCATGAGTAAATATTCAGCAGTTCATAACAACCTGTGAAAACTGCAATGTTTTGGTTTTGTCGGTTTTATTCTTTACGGTTTTGTTCAATTGTATTACAACTAATGATATAGGCAATTCTATTAGAAATAGCGGGAGGCATTATGGTAACCATTGTTGATCACCTTGTATTATGTTTTTATATTATCTATTATATCCACCCTTTTGACTTGACCGATTCTGTTCTGTTATGTCACATTTGGTTTTACTCTCTTCCAAAAAAGCAACAAGAACCGTGGGAGCAATGAAACCCAAAATGTGTAATAGTCACTGTACAAAAGAGAGGAAAAGAAAGTGCTCTAAACTATATAACTGCATGTATATTTAAATGTATAAGATAGAAAATGATATCACAGAGTTTTATTGGATCATTGAACAGAGCTGTTTGCAGTATCATTGTTGGAATGTCCACTCTACAAGCTTTAATTTTGTGACTTGAACAATTATTTCTAAGATGGCAATATGTAATCCATTAACTAGTGATTTCCTACTGCACATTTTTTTCTTCTGTAAATCTGTATAACTTGTACCCCTTCACTGTTTTTTTTTTCTTTCTTTTCTTTTCTCCTTAAATAAAAAAAAAAAAACTGAAGATAAAGTCATGGTATTGAACTAAATTTATTCAAGGTGAAATAAAAGTTTAGAGTTTTGTGAAGTGGTCTTTTTCCTGTTTTGTTATTCATACTTTCTTTTTTTGAAATTATGGTGATAATGGCATATTTTCTTTTTCCTCTTTGAGACAGGGTCTTTCTATGCATTCATTTCAGACTGGCTTGAGCTCACTTTGTAGCCCAGGCTGGTCTTGAACTTTGAAGGATCCTCTTGCCACAGGCTTCCGAATGCAGGATTACAAGTATGTGCTTACAACCCCTGATGGTATTTGTTTAAATTTAGAAAAGTGTACTTGGTATGCAAGATACAAATAAAATCCCCCCAAAATACACATCAACTCTACTTAGTGGTCATCTTAGAAACAGATTTTGGGGGTAATTGGTTCATGAAATTCCTGAATCTGGAAGCAATTCTAGTAAATGGCCTTTCAGAATTGTCCTTGACTGCCAGCTCTTTCTGTTATCAAGAATAGAAGCCTCACCTGCACTGGGCAAAATGCCAGTAGAGGGTGAGGCTGGAGATCTGGGCAGTACCCACTGGGATTTCTCCATAAAACACTCAGAGCCTCACTTCTCATCAGCATCTTTGTGGAGGAAACATACAGTCTCCATCTGGTTGGCAACGCTGAGCTCCAGGCCCAGTGTGGAGGGAAGAGGGATGCTGTCTGTGAGTTAGGGGAAAACTCATTTCTACCCAGTTTTGATTTAGGTGCCAGATGTGTAGAGATAAAAAAGAAAACAGAAAAAGAGCTGAGGACCCTTTACTGTGTATTGGACTAGATAGGAGTATGGTAGTGACAAGGACATGGAGGAAGGATGGTTACAATAGTGACTTTCATCTTGCTTTTCTTCAGATTGCAGTGACCCAGCTTGGTTTTCTGCTGCTCCTTATGGCAGCCATCGGAGGGTGCAGTGCAGGTGAGTCTCCTTCAGGGAGCCTGGGCTTCCCAGCTCATCTTTAGTTTTGGAAGAAAATAAGTAGCTGAGTTACTTCCATGATCTGAGCCTCTTCTGGGCTTATGGTGACATCTTTGAGTTGAGCTCAGGTCACCTTGTATATAGGCTGAATGCTGATTTCTGACCTCTTGAGGGACCTGACCTGTAGCAAGCAGGGTGCTACTAAGGCCGACCACAAATTTTCAATAATTTGATTCACAGTACTGTTTGAAGCAGGAAGAACTTGGAGCTTCCCTAACCTCCACGTAGAGCAAACACAGAAGAGCTGTCTGCAGGATGCTATTCACTGCAGCTGGGGGGAATCCTGCCCTGACCCCAGGGCAATAGAGGTGTGGGTCTTGGTTTAGGCTCTGGGCCTCATTTTACCTTGAAGGGACTCTGGTAAGGCCTGTTTGTCCTCCAAGCCATTCCTCACTCCTATGACCTTGGCCTTGGGCTTGTGTGGCAATTGCATGATCTGCTTTGTATCCAGAGACTGTTTTCTTCTTAGCCCTCTTTTCTGCAATGAGAAGCAAGGATTTTCAATATTTCTCTTCATTATTTATTTTTTAAAGAGAGAAGCTAGTTTTGCTAAATGTCCCCTCATGTGTTCTTCATAAAAACAGTATTCGATAGTTGCATTTGAGGCATGAGGTGGCCAAGGTTCAAGATGCTGAGATGTTTTTACAAGCACCATCGACTTGTGAGTATCATAGGTCTTATAGCTGAGTGTTTTTGAACATAAAACTTGTCATTGCCTCCTTTCTTCTGATTTGTACTGGAGTGAAGATCAGTACTGAAGGTCCTTTATTCTATGTCCCTGTTAGTCTCTTAAAGACAGCCAAAACTATCTGCCTTGTACCCTATCTTTCAAGCACATCAACCTATCTATACTTCTTTGTATGGTGGATATTTTTTGCTTTATTCTTTTCTCTGGGCCTTTGGACATGTTGTTTCTTCTGTTGCATTGTCTTCTCTTCCTTCCTACTGTTAGTCATATTCATTCTCCCACAATAAGCTGCAGTGTCATTGTGCTAGACTTCTGTGACTGAAACGTGCTGTGCTAGATGATTTCTCTACCTCCTGTCAGGCCTCTTCTTCATTTTCTATTCTTTGTCTCCATTCTCATCTGAATCTCTTTTTGTTCTCCTGAACTTCTGTTTATTCTCAATATATTTTTGTTGAATTTTTGGAAACTCTCTAGTTTTTTTTTTTTTTCTTGGCAGGTTAGGCGGTGTTAAGTTCCTTTGAATGCCTTGTGCCCATGGCAAGGCCTAGCATCCTCATCAGGTTATGTGGGGAGGTATGTGTTAAGTCTGCACTGGATGCCAGGCCAGGTGGTCTGAATGGAGAAGACACTGGCCATCTCAGCGCCTTTCATCCCAGGCAGCGAAGTCCTGGTTCAGTGGAGACATGAGTTTGAGATTATTGATATACATTGACTGGATTTTGTGTCAAACCAGCAATGAGAATAAAACTTTACATTTTCTCTAGCTCTGGCCAGTGCTTATCTTGAGGAAGGGACCTATTTTTTATCTCCATCTCTGCCCCGAACCTGCAGTGAAGCCAAGCAGAGGTGCCATAATGCCCGTGGTAAGTGTTCTAGCACAGACATTGGAGCCAAGCATGGGATTTTATTTCTGGCAGAGTTTTGTTTTTGTATAAAAAGAATGGAAAACTGTACATACATTATGTATTGGATAAAGCTTGGGATTTCAATTATTTTTAAACATTCATTTGTGTGGCATAAATTACTTTCACATTGTTATGCAACCATTACTGCTGTGTCCTCCAGAAAATTTTCATTTTCTCTAATTGAGACTCTAGCCACTAAGAATTACCTTCATATCTCCTTTTCCCTAATGTTCTATTTATACTTTGGATAAATTTTCTTATTTTGGTTACCTTTTAAAATTAGATCATAAATTAGTTGTCTTTTTGTGCATGGCTTATTTTTCTGAACATAAGGTCAGCAAGGTTCATACATATTATACCATGGATAATTTATTTATGTTCAACTTCAACCATTGTGTTTGTATACTTTTAACGGTTGATATACACTGTCCATTTAATACACCCTGCATTTATACACATCAGCACAATGTTTTGCTTATACATTCTGTGAAGAAATATTTGGGTTGTTTCTACCTTTTGCATGTTGTGATCAATGATGGCATGAACATTAGCATACAAATATTGGTTGGAGTTCAGACTTCAGTCTTTTAGGTATATGTGTGGAGTGGAATTACTAAACTGTGATAAATCCATGTTTAACTGTAGGAGGAGAGTTTCAGGGAGTTTGGGTAATTCTGTTTTGACTGATTCACAAGGATGTGGTCTTCTGAGCTCGGGAGATCCAGTGGTCCTAAGGACACAAAATGATAGGCTTAAGTGAGGAGAGTTGGGGCCGTATTTATTTTTCCAAAGCTGTCCTGACTTTGTGGCTGACATGTTCCATGAGTACAGACAGGTAGGCTCTGGGCTGCTTCTCCTTACAGATGGCCTGTATTTCCTTCGCACCAAGAATGGAGCTGTCTATCAGACCTTCTGTGACATGACCACTGCGGGTGGCGGATGGACCCTGGTGGCCAGTGTGCATGAGAACAACATGTATGGGAAGTGCACAGTGGGTGACCGCTGGTCCAGTCAGCAGGGCAATAGTGTCAACTATCCTGAGGGTGATGGCAACTGGGCCAACTACAACACCTTTGGGACTGCAGAGGGGGCCACAAATGATGACTATAAGGTTGGTGCCTTTGCAACCACTGTGGGATGTGGTGAGGCTTGGATTGTGGCAAGGTCACAAATATGCAGGAGGGAGGCTTGAAATATGGGGTGTGGAGCTACAGCTGAAGCAGGATAGAGAAATACATGTCTTGAATGTCAGCTTTCTCCCAACAGAGCCCAGTAAAAATACAGCTCCTGGATGGTGTTGGAAACCATCATCTTCTGTAATTGGGAGTGTTTGATCCCATCTGTCCATCTGTACACTTGAAACAGCTGTCAAAGTCAGCCGAGTGGTTCATGTGTGTGTCTTGTTTTTCTCATGGGGTCTCCTGACCTTGTCAGGCTCAGTGTTGATTACTTTCTAGAATCCAGGCTACTATGACATCCAGGCCCTGGACCTGGGTATCTGGCATGTGCCCAACAATAGCCCTATGGAGACCTGGAGGAATAATTCCCTGCTGCGGTACCGCACGGCAGTTGGCTTCTTCCAGAACCTGCAGTTACACAATCTGTTTGGCCTCTACCAGGTACACTGGGCTGCTGGCTAAGCTGATTTTCATGATATAGAAAGAAGCAGGAATTTGAATTCAGGAGGGAGTCATTTTCCCCTGGGGCTATCTTCCCTGTTTGCTATACCATAATTTATACCTAGTTTCTGTCTGATTCCATGAAGAATTCTGACCAAGGGAAAGCAAGGGACCTGTTAGAGTGAATTGGAAGAGAAAGACCAGAAGTGGCTAGAGCAAGAGAATTTGAGACTGAGTGCCAAGGGGAATGGTATGTTGGAGAAGCACAGCCAAAGGGAAAGATTCTATGCTGTGCATTTTAAACAATGTTTGTGGGCTGGGAATGTGGCTCAGTGGTAGAGCTCATGCTTTGCATGCTCTAGGCCCAGGCTTGAACACTAGCACAACAAAAAATAAAAATGAATGCAATGAAATAAAACAATGTCTGTTTATAAAAAACCAAATGTTTTTACTCTAGACGGCATCCTAGTGAGAGCCAACCCTACATTTCTCACTGAATCACTTTTTCACTTCCCACAGAAATACCCAGTGAAATATGGAGCAGGAAATTGCAGGACTGACAATGGGCCTGAGATACCTGTAGTGTACGATTTTGGTGATGCCAAGAAGACAGCATCTTATTATTCCCCCTACGGTCGCAGTGAGTCCTCAGTGCTCCTCTGAAATCTTTGTAGGAAAGATGATAAATGAGTTACAATGGGTAGCAGTTATCCATCACTTACTGCAGCCTAGTTCTCCTCTATGCATGTTATATATACAGTATTGATTCATTTAATCTGCATGGCAACTCTTGAGGTTTGAAGTAGTATTGCTTTTTTTTGCACAGATTAGGACAAAATCAGGGAGAGATTTAGGTAATTACCTTATTTCAAAGGTGTGTGTGTGTTGGCTAGAATTTGAACTAGAGAAGTTTGCCTGTGGACTCGACTCCCAGAAACCATATGTCTAACCCTTTGTAAATTGTGAGGGACAGGTCACATCCATATAAACAGGGAAGAATAACAATGTTGAGACAATTGCATTTCTATTTTCCAATTTTTTTTTTGGTACTGGCATGCTTGCCTCATGCTTTCCAGGTAGATGCTTATGCTTCTGAGCTAAATTCCTGCCCCTGCTTTTCTATTTTCAATAGCAACTACAAATGAACTACAAGTTTGTTTAATGTAAATCTAAAGTTGGCAGCATATCCATCCTAGAGGCTCAGCCCATGCAGTAAGATCCACATATGTTTTTATGTACATTTGGGATTTGAGATTTTACAATGAAAGTGAACAAGAAAAGCATGAAGAAGATCAGTGTGAGTGCCTTGCCAACTGCTGTAATGTGCCTGGAGTGATGGTATTAATGGTGATTTTCTTGCATTGTTGAGTTTCCCTATCTGCAAACCTCTGCCAGCACAGAGGCACCTATGAGGACGAACTCTTCGATTTTTGGGTGTGGCAAGCTTCCTTGTGTCCAGACTTGGGCCTGGCATAAGCGATCCATTGGTTACAGTGGTTTTGGAGTCCACTAGTGCAGCTGGAAATGGGCTGCAAATTCAGTCTGGCACACACAACTTCTGTCATGGTCCAAAGGAATCTATTTCTTCTATATTCCCGAATTTTGTTTTCTCTCTCTTGTTTGCAGATGAGTTCACTGCAGGATATGTCCAGTTCAGAGTATTCAATAATGAGAAAGCAGCGAATGCCTTGTGTGCTGGAATGAAGGTCACTGGGTGTAACACTGAATTTGTGAGTTTTTGTGGATTCCAAAATGATCTGTGAGAAATGCTCTCTCTAGATCTCTCTCTCTCTCTCTCTCTCTCTCTCTCTCTCTCTCTCTCTCTCTTTTCTCTCTCTCTGTCTCTGTCTCTCTGTCTCTCTCTGTGTATGTCTCTCACTGTCTGTGCCTCTCTCTGTGTGTGTGTGTGTGTGTGTGTGTGTGTGTGTGTGTGTGTGTGTTTAGTGTGGTCTTCCCTTGCATTCCCCTGGATCTTGGAGACCAGAAGCATAGGTCTCTCTATCCAGGAATAATTGTTCTGTGCTTTTGAGGCCTCAAATCAAGAATTGAGGTTGAAGTGCACCTTTGATATCTGCTCAGCTTTTGCAAAAAACACTCAGTTGCTTGGGGCGAGGGTGTGGATTATGCTCAGAAACAGTTTGTGAAATATTTTGGAGCTAAGACTGACCACCGGTCAGCCATGTCATTCTCCACCTGACGTTTAATTTTCAGAATAAATTTTGGTATTCCTCATGTCTGGGATTTGTGTAGATACACACTGTGTAGGGACTGTGAGGGGAGGTCTGACATCTTTTAGTGAGATTCACCCAACCCACCCTGATCTCTCCTATTAAAGACTTTGGACTGAGGTCATCATGGGGACAGCCTGCCAGCACAAGTGTACTTTTTTTCACTTGTAGCACCATGATATCCCCCTAGTTCAGAGAAATATAGATTCATGCTGGATTTTTCTGGTCTATAAGGCTTTGGCCAAGAGAAAACAATAAGGGGTCTTTGAGCTGTTCACTTGGGCCCCAGTCTTCCCCTCACTAGCAGTCTGAAAAATGTCCTGAGCTGCTGGCAGGTGACCCTGAGGACCCCCCTCCTTTTTTTTTCCCCCAGCCCTCAGCCATTGGTTTTCTCTTACCTAGCTGAAGATGACGCAGCTTCTCGGGCAACAAGGGTCCTGAACACATAATGGAGGATGATTACTGGGAGGCCCCCAAGGGACAGGTCTCTTTGTGACTACCTGTCTTCTTTAGCACTTTACCGACCTGGCGCGAAGCACAAGTAACGCAGCATGTTTGGGTTACACCTACACCTTAGAGAAGCTTTCAGGTAGCTCCTCCCCTGTGCCATTCAGCAACACAGGATAGTGTGTTCTTTGTCCAGCATCTATCAGGACATTGACACAAAGCCTCTGAAGTGTAATGGATATATAAACAAGGGGACTGGGAAGGGAGCCAAATGTCACAGTCTTTACTGTGTATGTGTGAAGGTCTGGGTTTGATGTTCACCAATTTCCCACAAAAAAAAAAACAGAAACAACTAGGGTCTATAAAAGCATGTATCTGTGCTGGGTGCATCAGAGCAGTGACTACAGAAGAGGTAACTTCTAAGCTGATTCTTGAGAAATAGCAGAAATTCATGAGGTATTAATGTAACTTATATTGAAAGAACAGTATGCTCAGGGCTCTTAGTTTTTCAGAATGGATGTGATGTTGAGAGAGCTGTAGGGTACTTTGCAGCCTTGGCGTACAGGGTGTAAGACCAAGAGAGTCTTACATTCTTTAAGAAAAAGGGATATGTGTCCCCTCTTGGGGAATAGCCCCTATGGAATTCACAGAGTCCCATCAGGGACATTGAGAATTAATGTTCAGAAAAGTGGAAAGAAAGTCAGAAGGCATGATGGAAATAAAACTAAAGGAAGAGAGGTTTATACAAGTGTAATAGATCAATACCACCAATGGAAATTCCCAATGGGGAGCAAAGACTTTTCCACTGAGATAACTTTAGCTTCACCAGCTGATCTCTCATTACCTTTTCCTCCTTTCCTTGTTTATTAGCATTGCATTGGTGGAGGAGGCTACTTCCCAGAGGGCAATCCCGTGCAATGTGGAGACTTCTCTGGCTTTAACTGGAATGGATATGGAACTCATACTGGATGGAGCAGTAGCCGGGAGATAACTGAGGCAGCTGTGCTTTTGTTCTATCGCTGACACCATCTTCCTATGGGATCTGGCATTCATCTTCCATCTACCAGGACCCAGTGATGGAGACTAACTTACATAGTGTCTAGAATGCCAGTGGCTGAGCAAAGTGAAATAAATCATTTTTCTTGAAGTCTTAGTGTTTCTGAATATTTTTCATGCAGGGTGGAGAACTGTAAGAATTTTCAAAAGAATGCATATTGTGGAGTGATTTTGTGTCAGCTATATCTTTAGTGTTTGTAGTCTTAGAATTTGTCAGTTCTACAAAGGACGATGTCATCCCCCAGGACTCTCTCAGGTAGACCCTTTAAATAGTGAGAGAAATAAAGGGCAAGGAGGAAGCATTTTATCTGACCCCTTCCTAATTCTTATGGACTGAACAAAGAAAATCTGAATATTTTAAAGAAGATAATATTAGTGTACCACAGAATAAAGGGATTACCTCTATTTGTATTTGGTTCATTCATGGGTGTCTGTGGCTCTTTTCTTATGTTATTTTTTTTTGTCTTTTCTTTTTTTTTATTTAAGGAGAAAAGAAAAAAAACAGTGAAAGGGTACAAGTTATACAGATTTACAGAAGAAAAAAATGAGCAGTAGGAAATCACTAGTTAATGGATTACATATTGCCATCTTAGAAATAATTGTTCAAGTCACAAAATTAAAGCTTGTAGAGTGGACATTCCAACAATGATACTGCAAACAGTTCTGTTCAATGATCCAATAAAACTCTGTGATATCATTTTCTATCTTATACACTTAAATATACATGCAGTTATATAGTTTAGAGCACTTTCTTTTCCTCTCTTTTGTACAATGACTATTACACATTTTGGGTTTCATTGCTCCCACGGTTCTTATTGCTTTTTTGGAAGAGAGTAAAACCAAATGTGACATAACAGAACAGAATCGGTCAAGTCAAAAGGGTGGACATAATAGATAATATAGAAACATAATACAAGGTGATGAACAATGGTTACCATAATGCCTCCCGCTATCTCTAATAGAATTGCCTATATCATTAGTTATAATACAATTGAACAAAACAGTAAAGAACAAAACCGACAAAACCAAAACATTGGAGACATTGTAGGTCTTCAAAAGTAGATAAAAGTCAACGAGAATGGGCGTTATAATGAATTTCATTATCTTCACAGCTGATGCCTAAACTTTTGAACCTGATACTATCCAGCAAAACAGAATAGGGGAACATCAGTCAAAAACAAAATGGTGAGAGTAATACAGGGCTTCAAATCGAGATAATAGAAATTCAAAGTGGGTTACTATATTATATCCTGCTATTTTTCCCTTTAATTAAATGGATAAAGATAAAAAAGTAAATAATGGAGTGGAGATTGAGAAAAAAGAGGGCATAACAGCGAAACAGCGCAGATCAAAACATAACCATTTAAGCAGAATAGTGTTTCACCACCAGATAATTCCGACCCAAAAGTAGTTACCATATTGACTCTTTCCTTGAAGTCCTTGAGTACAACTACGTATACTGTAGCATTAAGTATATCAAAACAACGTAAAACCATTTAAGAGAATGACAGCATTACAGAATATTTAGAATCGACTAACAGAAAATGAACAATGGTTTCTGTATAATCTCCTTGTCTTTAAAAGGTTTTTGCTTATACTATCGTACATAATAAAATCCAATGAGATACAACCTGTTTAGACCATTGGAGACAGAAGAACAAAAGCTAGATGAGACTTCAAAACAAGATGATACTAAATCAGTATTACCTATTAAGATGTCATTTTCTCCAAAATAGCTGTTCCTATCATCCAATCTTCTCTGTCTCATTTCTGTTGAGCTCTTTTTCTGTCAGTAGCTGTCAGTTTGTCTTCTTCATTTTGTTCTCTGCTCCATTTGTTGTGGCCTCCCCGCCACTATTTCTGGGTTCTTTGTATTTTTCTTTTTTTAGAATATCCTGCAATACTTTCTGTAGGGTTGAATTGGTGGTTGCAAATTCCCCCAGTTCCTCTTTATCCTGGAAGCACCTTGTTTTTCCATCAATTTCCAGGGACAGTTGTGCAGGATATCTCAATCTTGGCTGGAGATTATTATCTTTCAAAGCTTGAATTATTTCCCCCCATGCTCTTCACGATTTGATGGTTTGTGCAGAGAAATCTGCTGTAATTCTGATGGGTGTTCCCTTGAAAGTGGTCTGTTTCTTGCCTCTGACAGCTTTTAATATTCTGTTCTTGTATTGAATTTCTGGAATTTTTATTATTATATGCCTGGGTGTTGCTCTGTTTTGGTTGTAGGTAGCTGGGGTCCTGTATGTCTCATACATCTGAGTATCTTTACCTTTTGCTAAATTAGGAAAATTCTCCTGGATTATTTCTGTGAGTAGCTTTTGTAGTTCACTTGTTTGTGTCCCTACTTCTTCTTTTATGTTCTTAATCCTTAAGTTATGGCTCCTCTTATCATCTTCTTGTCTTTGTATTATTGCTGTTTGTTTCTTTGTTATTTTTAAGAAGTTTTTCATTTCATTCTCCCATATTACAACTCTGCCCTCCAGTTCAGATTGTCTGTCCTTAGTTTCTTTCAAGCTGTTATGCCAGTTTTGGATAGACTTCTTAATTTCTTGATAGTCCCTTTGAACCTGCTTCACGTACTCTATGCTTTCTCTGTTTTCTCCATCAAACAATTCTCCCCTCTTTTTCTGTTCTTCCATTCCACCATCTGTTTTTTCCTGGGTGGTGCTTAGCATTTCTCTAACTATTCTGCATACTTCTCGCTTCAAGTCATTGATAACTTCATTCCTGAATTGGTCTATGAGGCTCTCTATATGGTGCTTAATGTCTATTGGTGCAGTGTCCGCTATTGCCTGTTTCTCAGAATTGGGGGATGAGGAGCCTTTCTTGTTGCTGCCTTTACCCATATTCTCTGTTCCTTATATATATGCAAGCTTACATAGGAGGCCCAGCTTCCCTGCCTGTCAGCCACAGCCTGATTGAATTGTGCTGGCTAAGTGTTCCTGCCCACCGGCAGCGCACCAGGGAGTTGCGGACTAGGCAGCCTATGCGGGAGTCACCCCTCCGGGCCACCGTCAGTCTCTGGGATCTGGGTTGGGCCAGCCTACTGAGTCCGCCAGCAGCATCACGCAGGCCAGGCACTTTTCACCAATCCCGTCCGAGAGGGGAATGTGTGGCTGGAGTCGCCACTGCGCCCTGCTCCCGCCGGACTGCCCGAGCCCAGAAAGTCTTCCGCTGGAGTCAAACTGTGGTAGAGTGTCAGTTTCTCTCACTCACCTCACCACAAGTCAGTGTATGCCTGCCTGTCCATCCTGTTTTCGACTCCGTTCACAGACTCCCGTTCACAGAGCTTCCGCATGTCTCTCTCCTTGCTGAGCTGAGGTAGAGGCAGCCAGCCGCCAAGCGGCGGGAAACCCAAATTGCAGCTTCCAATGGCGTGGGGTCCAGCCTCCACACCAAGTCTTTTCTGTTCCTATTTTAGCGCCAGGACTGCATTCCAAGTTGGTTTCTCTCAGCCCAGTTCATTCCTGAGTCAGTAGAGCATATCTCTATCAGCTTATGTCTCCTTAGTCCGCACCATTCCTGACTTCTGAGCCGAGCCTTTCAGAGAGCCTCCGGTAGTTGCTGTTATCTGTCCGCCATGTTCTCCCGGAAGTCCACCCTTTTCTTTTGTTAAAATGGACCTGACAGGCATATGGTGATGATGACTCTTGAGTGTGTAACCCTGCTGGGCTTCCATTTTTTGGGACTTCTTCAAAAGAAAGTGAGTGGTCCAATCATCCCCATGGTGTTGATATAGAGGAATGAAACTCCCAACTTACTATGTCCATGAGTTTCTGTTCTCTAAAATTGAAGAATGAATTTTAGGAACAATGGAGATTCAGAGTAGAATATATTTATTGAGAGAAATAAAGCTTCTGTCTGACAAGTTACAGAAGGGGTCCTGAGTGGGCTGCCAAGGACTCTGTCTTTTCTAGAAACTTATATAGAGCAAAATCATGGGGCTAGATTGGTTCAAGTCAGGGGAAGACTAGGAACTCATGAAGCAGATGGTCATAAGGTGGGTCATAGCTGTAGTTATCCAACACAATCAGTAGTTCAGGTAAAATTGATTAAATTGTGGACAAATGGGAAAGCAAATCATGTAGGAAGCAGGCATTCTTGGAGCTGTGACTCTTCCCTAAGGGAATAAGATGGTGACTCTGTTTCCTCAGAGTGATAGGGAACTAATTAGAACATCAGTCCTTAGGATGTGGATGCATTTGTTTGATCTTTTGTCTTGAGGCCTGGCCCACAGCAGGAGGTGTCTGTCTCCCCAACAGTTGCAAGGTATCTGTAATGGCTCCATCAAGGACCTAGCCCTGTCTGACTGCCTGTAATTTTTCTAACTAACTCAGCTATCTGCAAGAATCTCCCCTCTGAAGAAGTAACTTGAACTGCCATGAGAGGGTAACAGGCAGATGACTGGTCTTGCTTCTTCAGGCTGAAGAGGGTCATAGTTGTTGAATGGCAGTCAGAGGTTGTTCCACAGAGATCCTGTCTACAGGCCCTTGCTAGACACCAGGCATTTTCATCTTGGGTACATGCACAGCTTTAAGTCTGGAGAAGACAAAGCCAAATAAACAGTTAAGTATGTATGGGTCAAAGGATAGGATTAATAAGACAATTATGAGTATAGTTAACAAAGATTTCCATCAAGAAGAATTATTAATAGCTTTCCATAAGGAGGAGAAAGACAAGGTCCAGGGAATCTCAGAGTGTGACATGTTGTTAATTTGTTGTCTAATGTCTTGAATATCTGTTGAGACATTAGCAGAAGAATCAAGAATGCATACACAGCATTCGGTTTTTACAGTTGCACAAGCGTCCCCCCGTGATGCTGCAAGAACATCTAATGCAATCCAATTTTGAAGGACAGCCTGTCTCCTTAATTTTGTTTCTTCATTTAGAGGTTAGAGACTAGCAGCAGTGTCATCTAAGGCCCACTGAGTATAGTTAGTCAAGGCCTTGATAAGTTGCATGATGTTTTATAATCCTAGGGAAGGGATAAAGACAGAAGCCAAATGATCATAGCAGTGGAACATGCTTCTGGACCATCGATGTGATAGGTGAAGTAAATTTGCAGGTTTCTCAATACTTTTGACATTTCTGCCTGATGTTCATCTGCGTATCCCCCAGGGGCCAGCCAAGGCCACAGATTGGCTCCACAAGACTAATGAGTGCCATTGGGTCTCCCCATCTAATTCCAGGGTGATTAAATCAATCTGTAGCAAACCAGTCATTAGCCTAAAAGTTACTGTATGCTTATTGCTCAAGGGGTGTCCATCTTAACTATTTAGTGGCATTAGGCCAATTGGAATGAGAGGTTTTTTTTTTTTTTTTTTGTTCCCAAACATAAGGGAGCTTGTCTACTGAGATATCTTGTGGTGGGAGTTAACCATAGATACTCATCCCA